CGACGCCGGAAGGTCAGGGCGGCGTCAAAGGGTCCCCGGGCGGCCGCCAGGAGTTCGCCATCGTCGGCGACGCCGTGAATTTGGCGGCGCGGCTGATGGCCAAGGCGAGCCCCGGCGAGGTGCGCGTCGAGGGCGTCGTGCGCGACGCGGCCGCGCGGCGGGGCTTCGCGTTCGAGCGACGCGAGGCCTTCACGCCCAAGGGCAAGGACGCGCCCGTGGAGAACTACGCGCTCGAGCCCGGCGACGGCCCGTCGAGCCGGCGGGGGTCGCGCGGTAGCCGCCCGTCCATCTCCGAGGCGCGGGGCCTCGAGCCGTCGGAGGAGCCGGCGCTCGCGTTCGTCGACCGCGGCGGCGCGGCCGCGGCCGCGGCGCGGCTCTGCGACGCCGGCGAGGTCGTCGACGCCTTGGTCGTCGCCGGCGGCGCGGGCCAGGGCAAGACGGCGCTCCTCGAGGACGTCGCGAACCGCCTCCGCGAGGCCGGCGGGTTGGCCCTCTACGGGTCGTGCCGCGAGGACGACCGCCGCCGGCCCCTCTCCAGCGTTCGCGGCCTCGTCGCCGGCGCCGTGCGGTTCCTCCTCTACCGCGAGCGCACGCCGGAGTCCGCGACGCGGTCGCTCGTCCCGCCGCGGACCGATTTCGACGCGGACCGCGAGCTCGCGACGACGTTCTCGAGCGTCGACAAGCTGCTGCCCCACGAGGGCGACGCGCCGCTCTGCTCGTCGCCGTTGAGCCCCGAGCAGCGGAACCGGCGGCGCCGGAGCTACGGCGACGAGCCGCCGGATTTGGACCGGGACGCGCCGACCTTCGAGTCGCGCGCATCGCTGGCGGAGGCGTCGCGCGACGGCGGAGCGAGTTCGCCGCCCGCGACGGCCGTGCCGCCCCTCGAGCGGGCGTCGTTCCGCTTCGACGACTCGCCGACCCGTTTGCCGTCGCCCCAGCGCCGCGCGCTCATCGACGAGGCCGTCGAGCTCGTCGAGCGGACGCAGCGGCCGCGGCGGCGGGGCACCGTCGCGCGGCGCATGCACGGCGAGGGCGCCGTGGGCATCCTGGGCGCCGAGGAGGACAAGCGCGCGTCGCGCCGCGAGCGGCGGCGCAGCTGGAAGCTCGAGGAGCAGCCCTGGATCGACGACGCGGCGCCGCTCGAGCCGCGCGTCGCGCCGCGGGGCGCCGCGGCCGCGCCGCCGGCCGCCGCGCCGACGCGGGCCCAGCTCCAGCTCGCCACGCTCGTCGAGCTCGGCCACGTGCGGGCGCGGGACGCCGCGCGGCTCTTCGACATCTTGGAGGTCGACGAGGAGGGCGCGGACAACGACGGCGACCCGGCCGAGGCCGCGGCGGCGCGAAGGCGCGCGGCGGAGCTCGCGTTCCACGCGGCCGCGCGCGGCAAGGGCCACCTGGAGCCGCCGTCCCCGAAGACGCCGACGCGGAAGCACCGCTTCCCCGGCGCGCGCGCGCGCGCGCGGTCCGACCCGGGCTCGGGCCCCGACGACGACGACGGCGACGGCGGCGGCGACGACGGCGCGGCGAGCGCGGTCCTGGCCCTCTTCCGGCGCTGCGCGGCGCGCGCCGCGCGGGCGAGCGCGTTGCCCCTGACGCTCCTCGTCGACAACGGGCACAACCTCGACGGCGCGTCCTGCCGCCTCTTGGGCCGGCTCCGCGCGGAGACGGCCGGCGCCGCGCGCGTCGTCCTCGCGCACCGGCCCCTGGCGACGAAGCGCACGCGGGCCTTCGACGCGCTCCTGCGGGCGTTGAACGCCGACGGCGGCGGGCGCCTCGCGGCGTCGCCGCGGACCGGCCGGTCCAAGTCGACGCGGCCGTCGCCGAGCAAGCGGCCCAAGAGCGGGGTCACGAAGCTGCTCCGCGGGGGCCAGTACCGCGTCCACCCCGGCGGCGACGACGGCGAGGCGCCCATCGCGACGGTCGAGGTCGCCCTGGGCCCGCTGTCCTTCGTCGAGATGCGCCAGCTCGTCGGCGTCGCGGCGGAAGGGTGGCGCGCGTTCGTCGACGTCCAGTTCGCCCTCGTGGAGTTCCTGCTGGAGCGGAGCTCGGGGAACCCCTTCGTGGCCCTCGAGCTGCTCCACGAACTGCTGGAACGGCGCGTCGCGGCCGTCGACGGCGCGACGGGCGAGCTGCGGCTGTCGGGCGACGCGTCGGGCGCCGTCGGCGTGCCGGCGGCCGTCGCCGCGGCGGTGTCGGGCGCCTTCGACACGCTCGACAGCGCGTGCCAGGCCGCGCTGCGGCTGGCGGCGGCGCTGGGCCACCGCGCGGACGTCGCGTGCCTCGCCTACCTCTTCGACTACTTCTTCCCCGAGGACGCGGACGTCCGGGAGCGAGAGCAGCGGTCCGCGCTGACCTTCGAGGCGTCGCGGAGCTCGTTCGGCGACGTCTCCCGCGAGCTGCTGCGTTTAAAGTACGTCGTGGCCGACGGGAACGACGTCGTCTTCGTGAGCGATTTGGCGCGGTCCGTGCTCTACCACCAGATGGTCACGGCGGACCGGCGGAAGGTGCACCGCCAGATCGTCTGCTGGCAGACGTTTCGGTTGGTCAAGAACGAGTCGTCGCCGGGTTTAGAAGGCGACGTCGCGTTCCACGCGCTCTGCAGCGACCAGCCGCTCCTCGCGTTCCACTTTTGCGTCCTCGCGTTCGGCGACGCCGTCCGCGACGGCCGCGTGGACGTCGCGCTGGGCTTCTGCGACGACTGCGCGCTGATCTCGGAGAACCACGCGCTGCCGGCGGCGCTCTGCGCCTTCGCGCAGATCGGGCTCATGCGCGCGGCCGCGCGCGTCGCGGCGGGGGACTACGGCGGCGCATTGGACGCCTTGGACGCGGTCGTCGAGGCGTCGGACTACGCGCCGCCGGCCTGCGCCTGGACGTGCTTCGCGCCGGCGTCGCCGGCCGTGCGGCGCCGGCGGCGCCACGGCGATCTGGCCAGGGGCGCGCGCGCGCGGCCTGTCGCGCTGCCGTCCGGCGGCGCCGCGGCGGGCCCGCGCGACGACGCGGCGCTCGAGGCCTTCACGGCCGAGGCGTCGCGGGGGCCGGGCCTGAGCGCGCGGCGCCTGGGCCGCGCCGCCGACGCCCTGCGCCGGTCCCTGGAGCGGGCCATCGCGCGCGCGGACCGCGACCGCGCGGGGCTGCGGCGCGCGTTCGCGCCGCTCGTCGCGCCCGCGCGCTAGACTGGACGTTTAGAGGGCGGAGGATCAAGGCGCGGACGAAACAGGTGGGGCGGCCGCGCGCGGCGGCGGGGCGCCGGACGCGCGGGGCCTGGTTTCTTCGTGGGAGAAGGCGGGGGCGGCGCGGCGGCTCGCCGGCTCTAGTTCGGGGAGCCCGTGGGCTCGAGGATCGTCGTCGGCGACCCGTGGCCCGGGAGGCCCGGGTCGCGGAGGCCGTCGAGCGCCGGGGGCTTGTTGAGCATCGCGGAGACCTTGAAGGGGAGCTCGACCTTGGGCGCGGGCAGGCCCCAGGCCGCGTGGTACTCCTGGCCGTTGGGGCTGATGAACTCGCACTGGGCGACGCGCTCCGCGTGCGTCTTGGGGAACGGCAGCCCGTTCCGCGGGTTCTCCGCGTCCGCGGCCGGCAGGTCGATGCAGAGGTCGTCGGCGTTCGTCGGCAGCGCCGACGCCGCGCCGGCGTCGCCGTGCAGCGCGTGGAGGCGCTGGTAGTGCGCGTGGAGCGGGCTCAGGCCCTGCATCATGCCCGCGGGCGTCTTCGCCAGGGGCCCCGAGGGCGTCAGCCCCGTGCGGCCCTGGTAGAAGAGGTCGCCGTGGTCGCCCTTGGCCGGGCTGAAGCCGTCCATTTTGAGGACCTCGCCGCCGGGCTCGCTGAGGGGCGTGTGGCCCGTGCCCGTGAGGTCCACGGGCTCGACGCCGGCCATGTCGAGCGCGTCGAACGACACGTCCAGGTCGTCGTCGGCCCCGCCGGGCATGTCGTC